GCACGAAACGTCGCCTTGTCAGCCGGCAAGGAGACCGAGGCAGCCAGGCTTAGTGCCACAGCTGCATCTTTCAGAGCCGACGCTTCAGAGGAGATCGGTATATTTTTTATCTTTGGCTCAATAACAAAAGGAGCAACCACAGTCGACTCCTCCAAGCGTGGCCGTTTTTCCAAGGGGCCCCCTTCGGAGCCGCCCTCACCCTCAGCACCTCATTTTTCGCCCCAATCCTCTAAAATCGGCTGCACTTCCGTACTCGGGCGCTCGACCTCCTTTTCTATCTCGGCCACGACAACATGAGTCGTTTCTTGTATGACAACGGGAGCAATATAGATTCAGTCGGGACAAGTCCGGAATGGATGGCTACCGCCTTTTGTCGGGCGGCCATGCGTTCGACATTCCTTTTTCGTGCCATCTGCGTAAGATTATCCCCAGCCATATCCTCAGAGAAATCGTCGGGAAGATCTCCCAAGTTCGTAAAGATATCTTCGGTGTCCCCTCAGCCTGATGTAGACGGAGGATCAGGAGAGTTCAACCCGGCTTCCTCAAAGGCCGAATTGATGGCTTTGTCAACTTCCGCGGCCAACTCTTTCGGGTCCTCGGCGATAGGTTGGGCAACTTATTCTTTCACGTGCTCAGAATCAGACGATTCGAGACCAATCTACCTCAAGTTTTTGAAGCTAAGGAAGATGAGGGCCGTCAGTTGGTTATCGCCTCGCGCGATGGGAATATTATCTACCGCCGAGAACGTCATGTAGGTTGGCTCGTACCTCAGGAGAATGTGGGCTGCCCTCCCTTGTTTTTGAAGGTCTGGATGGCCGACGAACTGTAGCGCGGTTTTAATTTCTGCGAGCACAACTTTGTCGTCTGAAGTCAACACTCTCTTCAAGTCGCTGCCTGTGTAGATAAAACGATTAGGTGAACTAAAGTGTCAAATACATGCATATGTAAGTAACAGAAACAGTGATTTGGTCGGCCACCTAGTTTGCCTTTTTGCCTCGGCACATGATCTAGGCGATCTTCCCCTTCGCCGAATTCCCAATTACCGCGGACAATGACCATCACGTCATCGACACGCTTACCAGAGCTAGCAAGCATGGTCACTGAGTGGTGGTTAGTGTCCTTGGCTCTAAGGAAGTAGCGTCCCAGACGGCCAGTAGACTTGGCTAGGACATAACAGTGCCGAATGGCGGGAATACCTAAACTAACTCTGAGACGCCGATTTATCTCTACATTGCCCATTATGATGCGAAAGAAGTTCACATTGGGCTGGGAAGGAATAAGACCCTAGTACCGAAGAACGGCCCTCAAAAGTGGGTGAAGAGGAAAATGGACGCCGCCCTCAACAATTGATAGGAGAAGAAAGACGATTGTGTTCTCGTCTTCCCTCACCATATTAGTAATGTTGTCTACCACAAGTGACAGATGGACGTCGTTAGGGAAGGAGAAGTGGCATCGAAAGCCGGAGATTCGATCCGCAGAAAGGAGCTCCTTCAAATGTTTCGCCATTCTTGCCGACTCAAGGATTACGGAAAACTAAAAGTAGATAAAGAGGGGGGATCAAAAAAAATGTAGGAGAAGAAAACTTACAGGAGGCGAAGGAAAGATCGAGAAACAAGGTGTTGCAGAAGCCGCAGAATATAGGAGTCCTACTGGAAGACGAGCCAGATATCTTCGAGTATTCAGAGCATACATTCGAAGAGACAAATTCAAATCAAATTAAATGGAGGCAACGTACGAAGGGGCGGGAAAGCGTTATAATGACCAAGAAGCATGTACGTGTTCTGACATGCATCGAGAAGAGGAATAACCGCCGGATTTCTAACCTCCAGACTAGAAACCAAAGACGCCGACTAACTGGTGCTAGTGGGGTGTTTGGGGGGCAATTGTGGGAGCCGAATAATTTTGGATCAGCAGGAGCGGACCAATTCGGTCCAGAACATAGCTTTTATTCGGCATTGACCTATCCAATTTTGGGGTCAAATAAAAAAAAGAGCTGGTATTCCTGCCAGTGAAACAAGGGCCGTGTAGAAGTACATGGCAAGGACTAGGAGTGGACCAGGTCCCAGGGCCCCAAGAGAATACTATAAATACAAGATCTTCAGTTCTAAAGAGGTATGTGAGAATTACTATGCTTAACTTAGAATACAAGCCTCCTCGAGTGTAGATACTAACTTGCCCGTCGGAGTGCTAATTCCGGCACCCCGACCGGAGTGTTTATTTTTTTTTAGGTGACCAGAAGAGGATCACGAGCGTTCCCATGGATCCCGAAGAGTATTTCCAAACCACTTACCCACAGAAAGGATGATAAAAAAGGGAGGGAGGGAAGGAGGATGTTGGTTGAAGCTGATGACTTGGCAGCTTTGGCAGCTGCCAAAACTTGTGGCATATTTGACACAAGCTTTGGGACACAAGCTTTGGTATTTGCCAAAGATAACAGCTGCTATAAGTTGCCATTGAAGCTGTCTTTGTATCCACTGCTGCCATAATTTGGCAATAGCAGCTCTAATGGCACACCATTAGAGATGCTCTAAGAATGGTAGATATGATATCTTGAATCATGGTGGTTCTCCCCACTTGGGAAAGAAGATTAGCCTTAGACAATCAACATTACCAACATTATATTCATACATAAAAAATATATTTAAAATATAGTGTGCATTATAAATTTATTTAAAATATAAACTTCTCGTACAATAATTAGATATGGACAACAAATTATTGTATCTTTACTATTTTCACATTCGCCTTTAAAGAACTATATGAGATCAATGCTTTAAAAACATTATTCATTTACCAACACATTATTCGTTTAGAAGCGATTTCAATTATTCTTTTTTTTTTTTTTTTGTGGTTACAGGAAAATCCTCCCTACCCTCCCGCAAGTCTAAGGCAGCGCCCCTTGCAGAGATCACCAGGGTGTCCTGTTAGCCGTTCCGAGCGAAGAGACTATAACCTGAGAACTTGCCCAGACCTCTCAAGACAAGCTCTACTTAAGTCAGGACTCGTACAGCGGGGGAGTATTGAACCCACACTAAATGCTAATTAGACAACTTGAGGTCTAACCTCCTAACCAACTGTGTTTTACCTAAAAGATTGGCCCGAGGGAGGGGAGGAGAAGAAATTAAACTTATGACCTTAGAAGTTAAACCCAAGTTTAAACCACAATGCCACCCACCCTTGGGTTCTTTCAATTCTTTTCATTCCTTTTCATCTAGAGGGGTCAAAGTTCAAAAATAAAAACCAAGAGACAGAAGTGAGACTCTACCTATACAAAGTACCTTTTTTCCAGTTGGACGGTGAAAAGATTAGTTAGTGTGACCATTGGAGAACATTAGTGTTGTTTTTTGTCTCTAGATCTCCATAGTCCTAATTAATTTGGTTGCTTCAATGAAAATTCATCATTTTGTTTATTTATATATAAGATACATCTATTAGAATTCATATAATTGTAAATTAATTGTAAATAATAAAATTTATAAGTAAATTATAAAATATATAACATTTATAATAATAAATTCAAAATAGTATACCCAAATGCACCCATGATAATAATAATAATAATAATAATAATGATAAATTACAAATACATCCCTGAGATTTACTTAAAATACAGATTGTTCCATGTGGTTTGAAAAATTACAAATCCAGGGTGTCCTGTTAGCCGTTCCGAGCGAAGAGACTATGACCTGAGAACTTGCCCAGACCTCTCAAGACAAGCTCTACTTAAGTCAAGACTCGTACAGCGGGGGAGTATTGAACCCACACCAAATACTAATTAGACAACTTGAGGTCTAACTTTCTAACCAACTGTGTTTCACCTAAAAGATTGGCCCAAGAGAGGGGAGGAGGAGAAATTAAACTTGTGACTTTAGAAGTTAAACCCAAGTTTAAACCACAATGCCACCCACCCTTGGCTTCTTTCAATTCTTTTCATTCCTTTCATCTAGAGGGGTCAAAGTTCAAAAATAAAAACCAAGAGACAGAAGTGAGACTCTACCTATACAAAGTACCTTTTTTCCAGTTGGACGGTGAAAAGATTAGTTAGTGTGACCATTGGAGAACATTAGTATTGTTTTTTGTCTCTAGATCTCCATAGTCCTAATTAATTTGGTTGCTTCAATGAAAATTCATCATTTTGTTTATTTATATTTAAGATACATCTATTAGAATTCATATAATTGTAAATTAATTGTAAATAATAAAATTTATAAGTAAATTATAAAATATATAACATTTATAATAATAAATTCAAAATAGTATACCCAAATGCACCCATGATAATAATAATAATAATAATAAATGATAAATTACAAATACATCCCTGAGATTTACTTAAAATACAGATTGTTCCATGTGGTTTGAAAAATTACAAATACTCTCTTATTATAATTTTTTATTTAACAGAATTAACTAAAAAAATGAAATTTATAATTACTCTCCTATACAATAATAAAATTACCTAAATTATTAATTAAAACATATTTTAATATTATTAAAAACTGTTAATTGACTTGATGATTTATTAATAAAATTGACGATTTGTTATAAAATTAGAAATCTCAAAAGGTGGAATGTAATTTTCAAAATCATAGGAAACGATTCGTATTTTAATTAAATATCAAAGGGTATAATAAAAAATAGTACTCTATACAATACCAGATTGACAAATTTTGTATTTATAATATTTTTCATTTGATAATGCATCAAAGCATATATAATATGTGCACCAAAAAACAGGTGTGGGCAGCCTTTTCCTCTGCCTATAAAATGGTGATTATTCAGTAATTTCGAAATATGAATACATTGTGTTTTATAAGATTTTAATTGATGGAAAAAGATAAAGGCTTACGATTTATATTGAGAATGAGAACTAAGTAATTGATAGTTAATTTAGAATATGGTCACTTCCGAGATTATTGAATAATCTTCCTATAAAAGGGCTCGTAGCCAAGCGAAGATAAAAAAACAAAAAGCCTACATTCCGAGATTATTGAATAATCTTCCTATAAAAGGGCTCGTAGCCAAGCGAAGATAAAAAAACAAAAAGCCTACAGCTTCCGAGTTCTCTCTTATTCACTCAGTCACTGACTCAGAGGTTGGAGGATGGTGAACACTATGGCATTCATGGGAAATCAATGGTCTCAAGGAGCTGGAATGAACCAAATAGGCTTTGCCATGGCAATCGCGGCCTCAATGGTGGTCATAACCATGTTGCAACAATTTCTCTTCCAGCACTTCGCTGGCTACGTAGAAAGATGCATTCGCAAACTCGTGAGTTCATTGGATCCATATGTTCAAATAAAATTCCATGAAGACACCTTCAATGGCGGACCCAAAAACCACGAAGCCTACGCCGCCATCGAGACCTACCTCAGCGCCAATTGCTCCGCCCAAGCCCCCCGCCTCAAGGCCAACGCTGTCAGAGACATCAAAACTCCCGTCCTCTGCGTCGACGACGGCGAAGGCGTCGACGACGAGTTCAGAGGCGTCAAGGTTTCCTGGCATCTGAGCAAAGACAAAGACCCAAACGAGGGTCTCCGTGGCTCAAGAAAGAACAGGTACTATGCGCTTACGTTTCGAAAAACTCATCGGAAAATGGTGATTGAAGAGTACTTGAAGCATGTAATGGAAAAGGGAATTGAAACAGTGACGAAAAATCGGCAGCTGAAATTGTACTCGAATAGTGCTAGTGAGCAAGGAGGTTACTGGAACTATATAATGGAATTCGACCACCCCGCCACCTTCGAAACTGTTGCCATGGAGGAGGAGAAGAAGAAGGACATTATTAATGATCTGAAAAAGTTTTCTAAAGCGAAAGAGTATTATAGGAGAATTGGAAAGCCCTGGAAAAGAGGGTACCTTCTCTACGGACCTCCAGGCACGGGTAAGTCCACCATGATTGCCGCAATGGCGAACGAGTTGAATTACGATGTTTACGACCTCGAATTGACTGCGGTTTCAAGCAATGCGAACCTGAAGAGGCTGTTGAACAGAACACCCTGTAATTCTATTCTTGTGATTGAAGACATTGATTGCTCGAGCGACATTACGGGTCAGAGAGAGAAGAAACAGAGCGATGACATGGCCAAGTTCGAGAAAGTGACGCTGTCTGGGCTTCTCAATTGCGTGGATGGTCTCTTCTCGGCATACGACGGTGGGAGGGTGATGGTATTCACGACCAACCACGTCGAGAATCTCGACTCGGCACTCATTCGGAGGGGGAGAATGGACAAGCACATTGCGATGTCATTTTGTGGGTTTGAAGCTTTCAAGTTTTTGGCAAACAACTATTTGGGTATTGAGAATCATGAGTTGTTCCCCAAAATTGAAGGGTTGTTGAAGCAGACCCACATTACTCCGGCTGATGTGGCCGAGAACTTGATTGCCGACGACGACGATGAGGGCTCTGCCGATGCTTGCTTGCAGACATTGATCGAAGTTTTAGAGAAGAAAGTGGAGGAAGAGAAATCAAGATTGTTGAATGATGATGAGAAGAAAACTGAGCCAGACAGAGCAGTGGAAGAGAATGGAACAGGGGCTAAGGGAAATGGCCATGTGTATTAATCTGGTTCATCAGTTTTAATTCAAAGCAATTAGTAATGTGGTAGTGTAATCACTTTCTGAATGTTTTATTATATGTGCTAGTGATCTAGTGGATTGTAATTTTCAGTTTATTGTGTTCAAGCTTGGGATGAGAAAATTGATCCCGTCGATGCGTTTGGTTCTCGAGAAAATGAATTAATGGGATGAGAAAATTGTGAGGATAAAGTAGAGAAAGTGGAGAAATGATGGGAAGTGTACCGAGAAAGTGCGTGGGGATGAAAAGTTGGTTCATGGTTGCTTAACATAAAAGGAAACAAACATTCCCCGTGCAGATGACATGGTTAGCAAAAAACATCAAATTAAAAGGAAATATTCTCATAGGTACCATCACCATGGTAAAAGTTAATTTTTAATTTTTAATTCATTTTAAGTCACATTAATTTTTTTTTTCTTTAATGTATTTTTTAAAAAAAAAATCAAAATTAATTTTTAATCGACTTCTCAAAACAAGTCATAATTTTAATCTAATATCAAAACACTGTTAATATTAATTCAGTAACAAATATTTTGGACAAATTTAGTTGGCCAATCTTCCATGTTTATTCCTTACCCTTGGTCTATCTTAGTTGTGATTATATATTAATGAATTTGACAGCCAATTGCAAATTCGTCATCCAATTTTAAAAGAGTTTTGCTAGGTAGGTCGAATGTAGTTGCCCCAAATGGCTCGAGTAGGCAAAAACGACGTCGTTTTTTTTTTTCTTTCTTCTTTTCCCTTCTTCTTCCTTCCTCCTCTCTTTTCTGTTAAACATTTGAGAACCAATATCTAACCAACAGAGATGCTCCCAAAACCCGCATCTTCTTTCATATATACAAACAAACATTCAACAAATGGGTCTCATGAATCACAGAAATGAGATGAGTAGCATAAAAACCCATGTTTAAATCAAGCATACAAACAAATCTCTTAATCACAACAACATATCTCAAATCAAAACAAAATCAAAACCAAACCCACATAATCAAAACCAAGCTCTTCCCTCTCATGGCGTAACTCTCTCTCTCATGAACTCTTGCTTTGTAAATCTCAGGAGATTGGTGGAAGTTACATGATGGATTTTGAGGCTGTGGGTTTGGAGACCTTGGTGGGTCTAGACAATGGAGTCTCTTCTCAGGTTGTTCCAAACTCTGATACCACAAAGTACCATAGTAATGGATTTGGGTTTATCAAAATATGCTTTCTTTAATTTCTATCTTTATTTATTTCTTTCTTCAATTTCTATCTTTGTTTTGGAGAGTTGTTGATTTATACATGGATTCTGTTCTGAAAAAATAGATCTGGAGGTAGAAGAGGAGGCCGAAGGGTGGGTCTGCGAGAGAGATGGAGAGGAGATAGAAATTCGGGGCTCAAAAAATTCGAGCTACAAAGCTTTACTCATTTTAAAATGGGCGCTGTTAGAGAGCTCTAATTAGAGCTGCTCAAAAAGCAGCTCTAATGAGCAGTCATCCTTAAAAAAAAATAAATAATAATAATAATAATAATAATAGAAGAGAGAGGTGAAAGACAAAACAGAAAGGGAAAAAGGACAAATTAATGCCTTTTTAGAGCTCTAATTTTAGAGGTCTCACTCATTTTTGTTTTAAAATTATTACTATACCAAGATCTTATCTCCCACCAAAAAATTATGCAAATTACTCATCTAATTTTGAAACTTACTCTACTTAGATTTATCTGCCACAGAAAAATTATTAAGCAAATTTTTTAATTGTATGTCCGGCTAATAATAAGAGTACTGGTCCTCTTCTTTGAGGTTATTTTGAATAAGATAAATACTAACAAGTATTCCATAAATATTATTTAATGTTGAAAAATATGTAAAAAGTGTCTTGAAAATTATAAAAAAAAATTTAATTTCTCTAAAAATAAATCAAAAGCGTTATGAAATTAATAGAAAATGTCTTGTGTATTGAACTTTTGATCTTTTTTCTTGTATGGTGGGGAACTTGTTAATAAAACCACATTTGTAATATTATTTAGCTTATTTGGTTTTGTTTTTTTTTAAATTTTTTCTATTTTGTTTTGTAAAAAAAAAAAAAAACTAACATTTTGGTGAAAAGATAAAAATATATTCATCATTTTTATATACATTTTTTTTTGACAAAAATGAAATTTTAAAAATATATTTTTTTAACAAAACTAATTTTATTTTAAAAAAATACAGATTAGACAATGTTTAGGTCAAACTAGCTTTATTATGAAAAATTGTTAATTGGTCATGGTGTCACAAGAGTATATCTCTCACTAATTACAATTCATTATACATTTCATGTTCTCTAGTCATTCAATATAAATTTATGAATATTATTTTTTTCACTAATCACAATACTATTAAACTATCACGTGATGGTGCCTCAAACCAATCAATTATAATTCACTATATCTCTCATATTTTTCAATCATTTAACATAAATTTATGAGGGTCTGTTTGGCAAGTTAGTTTCGGGCTATTTTAGTCACAAAAGACAAAATAGACTATTTTAGCCATAACAAACAAAATATCACATCCAACCCATAATTATTACACTCTTCTCTCACAAAAAAATTTAAAAAAGCCAAAAAGTCAAAAAATCTTTCCCAAACCAAGCTTTTTAGCTCAGGCTAAAATAGCTAAAAAAATCAAAAAGCCAACTCACTTCCCAAACGGAAGCTGAATCTTACATTTTTCACCAATCACAATATTATTTTGACACCAATCAATTACAATTCACTATACCTCCTATATCTTCCAATCACTCAATATAAATTTATAAATTTTATCCTATATATGAATGTTTTGAAAAAATAATTAAAAAATAATTTTTTAATTTTTTTAACTTTTTTTACTATTTCATATAAAAAGCAATGTAACACAATAAATTAAAAGTTAACTTTTAATTTATTTATTTTTTTGTTTTTTTCTTTTTTTTTTAACAGCCAAAACAGCCCACAATAATCACAATACTGTTAACCCACACGTGGTGGTCCCTCACACTAATCAATAACATCTCCTTTATTAAAGCGGTGGAGTGGGGGTGCTGTACTTCCACGTCATCTGACAATGAATTGCCTTCTCCCTGAATATGAGAAAGCCAGATTGTCGGTTGTTCAAATGTGTTTGGACACAAAAAAATGATTTAGATCTCTAAAAGAGTTCTAAATGAACATTAATTTGTCTTTTTTTATTTTTATTTTGTCTTTTATGTATTTTTAAATTTTATTTTTTAAAAATAGACGCCACCTCAATAGGATTGTTTTTAGAGCAGCTCTACTAATGTTCTGTAGCACTGCTATTTGGACACATGGTTCACTTTTATGGGCATGTTAAAATGTGTTTGGACCATCATATTTTTGCACCCAATTAGATTTTTATTTCATATTATTTTGTTTTGATCTAGTATGGTGGTGCAACTTTGGTGTTTCAAAAGAAAGAAAAAATTATTCAATAATTTTAAAATATTATCGGAGCAAGTGGTTATGATGTTATCGATCAATGAGGTGTAGTAAAGAAGAAAAATAAAATTAATTTTCTTTTATCCGGATGACGTTTGTAGATCAAATTAGTTTTACTATTAGTTAAGAAAGTTTCTCCCATATTTGTGTTGCCTTGAGGCTCAATTATCATTTTTTCTATCAAGTAATGTAGAATTAAATAAAAATTTCAAAAAAATGTTATACAAACTGGCACACCATTTGTTTAGGCGATTTTTGTTTAACAAAAAATATTTTTTTACAAAAACCATTTAATGTGATGTAAAATATAGAAACAAAATTAAAAAGAAAAGAAAGTTGCGAACTTCCTTTTGTGAGTGGAAAAGTGTGGAGGAGGAATTTATTTGTAGTTTTAGTGCTTTGTGATGCTAAAAGAAAAACGAAAGTAACAGAGAACCACCAACTTACTTTATAATACTTTTTTTTGGTAAACACTTTATAATACTTTTTAACGTCACGTTCTCCGTATAAAAATAAGAAAGTTAAAAATGAAATAAAGTATAAAGTTAAAACTAATCTAACAGTATATTATCAGTATATTTAGTTTTAATTTTTTGAATTTAATTTCTTAGAAATTAATTTTTTTATTTTTCGTATTCTTTTGTTGTTAGTAAATATTTTTAAAATTTTAAGTAATTTTTTTAACTATTTTGGATGTACATTACTTAAATGTATGTAAATAGTAAAATATTTGTCAAAAAATATTTTTAAAAATTAATAAATACACAAAAAAAAATTGTATTGAATTATTAATTTTTTTATTTTTCGTATTCTTTTGTTGTTAGTAAATATTTTTAAAATTTTAAGTAATTTTTTTAACTATTTTGGATGTACATTACTTAAATGTATGTAAATAGTAAAATATTTGTCAAAAAATATTTTTAAAAATTAATAAATACACAAAAAAAAAAATTGTATTGAATTTTCATTTTTTTTTAATTTTTGGTATTTAGTGAATTTTTTAAAATATACTTATTAAGTGTTTTATGCTAGGTGTGTCTAAATTTTTTTTAAAAAAATTGCTTAAAATATTAAAACAATTCGGTAAAAACAAAAAAAAAATATAAGGAAAACGAAAAATAAAATTTTCTAAAAAGTGAATTTTGAAAATAGAAACCAAACAGAGTGAATAATATCTTTGATCCCGAAAATAAATAAATAAAAAGTACAATAACATCTAGTTTAAAAAAAAGAAAAGAAAAAAGTACTACACTATCATTTAATAAAATTGGATGAACGTAGGCATAGATAAGAAAGTTTTATTTTTATTGAAAAGATTCAAAATGTATTTCCCAAAACTCAATATGGCAAGAAGAAAGGGGTGAATATAAGTTTTGAAGAATATTTAGAATAACCCATTGCAACAGGGAGTTCTTATTTACACATAATAAATTTCTTATTATACTCCCAAATATATTGTATATACATATTTGTGAACTTATAATTTTTTTATTAAATCACATCTATAAATTTTTAATTTTTATATTATTATTATTATTTACAAAAAATTCGTTGTGGTGGAAAGCTTCAAGAACCCTTTTGACATTGATTTTGTACGATTCCAATTGACAGATAAAAGAATGGTATTAATGAGTCCTAAACACGAGGTAGAAGGATTATATATTACAGGAGTGGGTTTTCATTATTTTAGCTAAGTTTGAACCAACAAAGAAAACTCAATTGTGTAAAGTATACT